TTTTTTGTCATAAGTTGCATAATCATTAAAGTTCCCATAACATTGGCTTTATGTAATCGTTTTTCTACTTCACAACACATTCTAAAAATAAATTGTTTAACATCATCATCATTCTCAAATCTAATTCCCCAATTTATTGATATTCCAATATTTTTCTTTTCTTTTTTATTCCCAAATTGAGTGTTATCTACTCCTTTACTCATTTCAATTAATTTAATAGTATTTTTCTCTCCTATTTGTTTTTCTAATACTTCTTTTGAAGTTAATGAAATATCTCCACATGTATAAACACCTATCATCTTACACTTTTCTGAAAGGGAATAACCAAAACCTGGAAGTTCTTCTATTTTTAGAGTAGAAATAAATTCTTCAATCTATATTATTATTTTATATTCTTTTTAAATAAAAAAAAATAATTAATAACAAACATTTGTTAATAAATAGTATATTCCATCAGGTTTTGCTTTTTTCATTGCTAGACGTGCTGTAAGTGGATTTATTCCAATTCCAAAACTTACTCCAGAATGAATCGCTTCTTTAATTTCTGTTCTAACTTGTTGTAAAAAAGTATCAATAGGATCAGGGACTGATGAAATATCTATAATACATTCATCACAACTCAATACCTCAATATTATTAAAATATTTTGTTAATATTTCATACATCTTTAATGCAGTTTTTTCATATTCATCAAAATCATATCCAACTACAACTAATTGTGGACAAAGATTATATGCTTGTTTTAACCACATTCCATTCTTTATTCCATATTTTCTTGCTTCATAATTACAACAAGAAACATCTGCATTATTTCCACCATGTGATATAACTACTGGTTTTCCTTTTAATTCACTATGTTTAGAAATTGTAATAGAAACAAAGAATGAATCAATATCAACATGCATAATTTTAGAATAATTTGATTTAATTCCTTCAACTTTTTCTGAAAGAAAATCTGAAAATATTGTTTTCCATAAAGAAATATGATGAAGTCTTGAACTTAAATAATATTTGTCAAGAAAATTTGGATCAGTACATTCTAAATCACTTAGTTGTTTTTGTTTTTTATTCATTTTTTGTGGATTATAATTAGTTATTGCTTGTAATGTTCCATATTTAATAGAATCTATTATCCAATTTGGATGAACAACAATTCTTTTTTCAAATTGGATTTGGTGTTGATATGATAATTGAGTTGCAATAATATGAGTAACTTCAGATGAAGAATATTTCATTAAATATTTTCCACCATTTTGAAGAATTAAAGAACGTAAAATTGATGCAGAAGGGTGTGTTCTTCCAGTTATCCAAACAACGACTCCTCTAAAAAGATTTCCTTTACCATACTTCTTTTTTTGTTCATCAAATTGTTGTTGTTGTAATCTACCCTTTTTCTTAAAGTATTCTTTAAGAGTCAACATCTTATAAAATTGAGTTTTTTATTTTTAAATAAAAATAAAATATTTTTCTTAAAAAAACAGAAATGAAAAACAAAAAAAAAATATTAAAATCAATAACACAAAAAGAGAAAGAAGAACTAATTAATTTAAAAAACATATGAGTGCAACACCAATAATTGAAACTATTCGCCTTGAAAAGGTAGAAGAAGAAACAAAAATGATATGTTTTTCAAGAAGACAAAATTGTTGTGGAGCTTTTCAAAAAGAAAATATAAATGAAGATAAATTTGAAATAGGAAAAGGAAATAAAATATGTGGACCAAGTGATGCAAAAGCAATTATTGAATTAATTAATAACCAAATAATTATGACAAAGAAAAAAGGTTGTTTAAAAGATATTTCAAAGAAATTAAAAGAAGGAGAAAATTATACAATTGGTGAGAATATAATTTTTGAATTTTTTGTGATCACAAAAGAAACCTTTAATAAAGGAATTGAAATAAATAAGAGATATGTGTTTGATAAAGAAATAGGAAGTGGAAGTTTTAGTCATGTTTATTTAGCAAGAGATAAAATTGATAATCAACAACTCGTAATAAAGACATTAAAAAAAGAAATTATTAATAATCAAATTTACTTTCATCAATTTGAACAAGAAATTTCAATAATTAAAAAAATTAAACATCCTTTTATTATTTCATATTATAATGATTATAGTATCAACAATAATAAATTTCTTGTCTTAGAATATGCTCCTAATACATTAATTTCTTATTTAAATAAACAAAAATCAAAAGAAAAAAAATATACTGATTTATCTATTTGTGAAAGAATTTTTAAAGAATTATGTTGTGCTGTACAATTTCTTCAAAAAGAATTTAACTTAATTCATAGAGATATTAAATGTGAAAATATTTTAATAAATGAAAATGGTCATTGTAAATTAACAGATTTTGGTTTATGTATAACTGTAAATGATTGGGAACATGAAAAAATTAAAAAAGGTGGAATAGGAACTCCCGAATATCTTGCTCCTGAAGTAAGAACAACACCTGCTTATTATTCATTTAAAAGTGATTGTTGGAGTGTAGGTTGTGTATTATATTGTTTAATTACTGGTAATTTTTATAAATTATCATACAACAAAACAATATTTGATGAAATTAAAACTTCTAATTCGAATTATAATATGTTAACTGAAAAAGGAAAAATGCTTTTAGAAGAAGATTTAGAAAAAAGACCAACAATGATTAACTTTGTTAGTCAATTTAGTTATTTTAATGATACTGAACGAGAATGTATAAAATATATTAATTCTATTAATGAACATCAAGAATCTACTTCTGAAGCATTAAAATTAAATAAAAATAAATCAAATGAATTTCCTATTAAACGTTTATCATTTGATAACGATTCTTTAACTCCTCAAAAGAAAAAAAGAATTAAAAAAAATACTTCTTTTAAAAGTGGTGATGTAAAAATGACAGTTTTATTTGGTCAAAAGAAAAAATAAATTAATTTAACTTTGTTTCAATCAAATGATTCATAAATTCTTTTGACAATTGAGTCTTTTGATTAATAACATCATCTAATGCATCCTTTAATTCTTTTCTCATTTGAACTAGTTGTGCGATAAAAAGTGGAGTCGAATTAATTGTTATCCATCCATCCAATGTAATAGTTTTCTGTTTATAATTTACAACAACCGATGTAGCTATTAAAGCAATAAATACTTTTTTAATTAATGAACATTCCCACACCATTATTTTATTTGATTTTACCATATTAGTATAAATAAATACATTTTCTTTAAAATCAATTCTAGGCATTGAATTAATAGAAGATACTCCCATAAATACTTGATGTTTTTTCGTATAATACTCATATTCAATTGATGTTTTTCCTATAATTTGTTGAGGAATAATAATATTTGGATAAAATACGTATGTTAAAATAAATAATAATAATTCTTTTTTATAAGATGATTGAATCGATTGAATTGGATAATTATAATTTTTTAATAACTCTATAAATTGTTTTCTTGTATCCAATATTTCTTTAACAATAATAATATTTATATTATTATTTTTACAAAATTGTATTCCATTTCCTTTTCTTTCTAATTCAATATAATGTTCTACTATTTTCATTGTTGCTATATGATCTGATGCATCGGAACAATACCTCCTCTTAATAATACTTCCATTTTCTCCATTGACTAATGGCTGCACTGACATACACGCCGCTAATAATGTAGCTTCTTGTGCAATTCCAAAAGCACATCCTAATAATAGCATCTTTCCTATAGAGACTTCAACTGGAAGAGCTGCTAATGCAGATCCTAATGGTGTTGCACTATATTCAAATTCTTTAACTGCTCCAGAAATATCTAAGTGACTAATTCTTTTTGCTGCCTTAATAGTAACAAGTTGAAGTAATGACTTTTCAATTTGTGTTTGACTTGGTGCATCTAAAGCATCAGCAAGAAATTGAACTGGATTTTTTTCACCAAATAATAATATTTGAAGACAGAGTGATTCCAATGGTAATCTTTTAATTTCAGGTTGTGGATACGTTTCAAATGAATTTTCTCTTTTTTGGCTATACATTTTATAGCATTCTCCTGCAGATACTCTTCCAACTCTTCCTGTTCTTTGTTGGGCATTAGCCTTTGAGATTTTTGTAAGAATTAATCGTTGCATTTTTGTTGAACGATCATATGACATAATCCTTACAAGACCAGTATCAATAAGATATTTAGCATCAGGAATAGTAATAGATGTTTCTGCAATATTTGTAGATAATACAATTTTCCATATTCCATTTGGGGCAATTGAAAAAGCTTCTTTTTGTTGTTGTAAAGGAACAGAAGAGTGAAGGATATGAATTTTAAATTTATTTAAATTATTAAAAGGAGGTGTAGAAATAATTTCTTTTTGTAATGAAGTAATTTCATAAATACCTGGTAAAAATACTAAAATACAACCTATTGGTTTATTTGTAATAAGATAATGTAATAAATCCATTATTAGTTCATAATTTACAGTAGATTGATTAATCATATCTGATACTGTTTTACTTGATTTGTTATTAACTTTATTCATATCAACAGTAATGAGTTGATCACCAATTAATTTCTTTTGAAGATCATCATATTTATAATTATAATATTCTGAACTAGAATCAATTGAATAATTTGTAAATGAAATAACATCATCTAAATAAAATGTTTGAACTGGATGAATTTTACTTTCAATCCTTAAACATGAAGCACTTCCAAAATATTGTTCAAAAAGTTCTACAGCTAATGTAGCACTCATGATAATAATTTTAATTGTTTTATTTCTTGTTATTAATTTTTTAATCAATAATAATAAAAAGTCTGTATTAATATCTCTTTCATGAACTTCATCAATAAATAAATGACTAATTCCTTCTAAATCTGGATTACCAAGAACCTTTCTTAACATTACACCAACTGTACAATATACTAATTTTTCATCTCCTGTTTTCTCAAATCTAATTTGATGTCCAACAAATTTATTTGATCCTCTTTCATCTATTACTCTTGAAGATAATCCTACTGCACTAATTCTTCTTGGTTGTGTTACATATATTTTAGTTTGACTTCCTCGTTTATTTAATAATTCACTTTCTAAAACAAATTGAGGTAATTGTGTACTTTTACCGCTACCAGTAGTTCCTGAAACTACAACTATTTGATTATTATTTAGAAGATTAATAAAATGGTCTTTATTAGAATAAATTGGTAATTGTTTTCTACCTTCTAACATATCTTGATAATGTGAACTATTTATTTCTTTATTCATTTCATTAAAATAATAGTCATCTGAAAATTTATCTTTGGCTTGTATTTCTGATGTAAATTTATTAATACTTGGTTGTTCTATTTCTTTTTCTTTTTTCTTTTCTCCTTTTGGCGTTTGATTTACTAATAAAATAATACTGTTTTTAGTGATTTCTTCCGGTGAATTATTTGTCCAATTATCAAATACTTCTTGATATCGTGGCGAGAAATTATTAATAAAATTTCTTTGTACTTTCATTTCAAATAATAGTCTCAATGCAATATAATTCTTTGCTGTAGCTTTTTCAAGAAAAGCAGTATTTTCTTCTGGAATACGTGCATGTAATACTGTTTTTGATTTATCGTTTAATTGTACTGATGCACTCATAAGATATCCTTCTTTACATTTTTCATCTTTGTATTTTGGATTATCATATTTTTGTCTTCTACAATAATCACAAATGATTACTGATGGAAACTTACCTGTCCACTTTGTATCTTCTGCTGCTGAAATGATGTTCCATCGTTCATTTTCTTCTTCTTTAATTTCACCATCAAAATTAAAATTTAATTCATTTTCTTCTTCGTCTTCTTGAACTTCTTCTTTCTTTCTTTTTTCTGCCTCTTCTCTTAATCTAGCAATTTCTGCTTTTCTTTTTAATCCTTCTGCTCTCATCTCTTCTGGTGTTTTCTTTTTCTTTTTTGTTGTAGAGTCCATTGCTTCTTTAAAAGCTTTTCTATCAAGTAATGCATCAATATCTTCTTCCTCTTCTATTTCTTGTTCTTTCTGTTTTTCTTGAATTTCTTGTGTTTTAATTATTTCCTTTTTTATTTCTTGTTTAATTTCTTGTTTAATTTCTTGTTTTTCACTCTTTACTTTATTGAGTGTTCCTCCTAAACTGTTTGGTAATAATCTAGATGGAATATTTAGACATAACCATTCAATTACCATATCAACAGTAATATCATCAGAATTTTCTAAGGTGGCTCCAACCATCCCTTTTTTGATAAGTTCTGGTGTCAAACTAAAATCATTAATTAATGAGTCATATAAAACTTTTAACCGTTGAACATTTTGTACATCTGATTGTTGCTTTTCAATTTCTTTTTTCTCAATAATTTTTTGTTCTTTCTTTTCTTTCTTTTGTTGAATAACCAGTTTTGGTTCAATCTTCGGTTTAGAGATTTCTATCTTGGGTTGAGTAGAAGGTGTTGATTGGTTTTGTTGTAATCGTTGAATCTTTTCTAATCTCTGTCTTTCTAAAGCCTTTGCCATTTGTTGTTTCCTACGACTCATCTCTTTCTAATAAAAACTCTTACTGTTTATTTTAATAAAATTTTTTGTGTTATTTTATTTTTTTTTTTTGTGTTTTTCTTTTTTATAAAAAAGGGTTGTTAATCTTTGTTAATAAATTAAAATTTTACTATATTACAAGTGAAATGAAAAAACAAAAAAAATGAGTAAATGACAAAAAGATTTCTTCTCATAAGATTTTATTTCTATCTTGAAATTTTATACCTTCTAATGAATATTACTATCCAACCACCAAATTTTCATATTTCTGCTCTCCATCTAGTATTAACAGTAGCTTGTTTAGTATCTTTTATTTTTTGTATCAAAATGTTTAATACACCGTTTGTATTGTTTCTATTTATTTATACCAATTGAAATAGCTCACTTACAGATTAACTCCAAATTGGTATCAGCACCAACCAAACTATAAATTATATTCAAAAGATTCTCCTTTTTTTAAAGTTGCAATAATAAGTGATTTAGACAAAGCAAGTAAGACCAATAAAAAATGGAGGTCTTCAATGATTATTGGAACAATATTCAAACAAGGGAATACTTATGAATTTCAACAACAAGAAGAATTTAATTTAACTTTAGGAATCAATGAAAATGGAAGAGGAATGGAACTAAGTGAATTGTTAAATTTTAATGGAGAATTATATGGCTTTGATGATAGAACAGGGGTTGTAATGGCTATTGATTTAGAGAAAAAAAAGACATATCCTCGTTATATTCTAATGGATGGAGATTTAAATTCTGATAAAGGAATGAAAATTGAATGGGCAACAGTTTATAAAGATTCTATGTATATTGGAAGTATAGGAAAAGAATTTACAACACCAACAGGAGATTACTTAAATGATAATCCATTGTATATTAAAAAAATTGATCAAAATGGGAAAATTACTGCAATAAATTGGAAAAATAACTATAACAGTCTAAAAAATGCAGTTGGAATTTATGGAGATGGATATATGATTAATGAAGCAGTTACTTATTCAGCCATTGCTAACAAATGGTATTTTGCACCTAGAAAATGTAGTAAAGAGAAATATGACGATATCAAAGATGAAACTCGTGGATGTCCTTACATTATTTCTACTGAAGACTTTACTCATTTTGATATAATAAATGATCCTCAACATGACCTTAATAAAGGATTTAGTTCTATAAAAGTTCTTCCAAATGATGAGAATAAATTAATATATTTAAAGAGTGTTGAAGTTGGAGAAAGAAGTGAAACATATATAGGAATGATTAGTACTTCAGGAGAAGTATTAATGCAAGATAAATTAGTTGCTAAAATGAAAATGGAAGGAATAGAATTCATCTCAATGTAATTTGAATTAAATTATCTTGTTTTTTTTTGTATTAACTTTTTAATTATCCATAAACAAACCACTTTGATATAAGATTTGGGTATACTTTTTAATAAAATTCTTACGAGTCTCTAAAATACGTTCAATAAGCTCTTTATTTCCTTCAATATCATTAAGTAATAGTACAAATTGATCTTCAGTCATATGAATTGGATCAACAAATAATTGAATAGGCTGTGTTTCCATTAAGTAATTTTTATTGTATTTAGTTATCTGTTTGTATACACAAAATATTATCTATTAATCTCTAATCATCAACTCTCGTTTTGATGATTCTTCTTTTTCTTTATGAAAATGTAAATACTAAAGTTTTATTCAAAATGATAATAAACTATTTAAAATTATAATTTTATAATTTTTAAATTATAATTAAAAAGAAAAATCAAAAAGAGAATAATCTTAGTAATGGTTTCCACGTTGAACAGGAAAAAGAGTATTTGAGTTAATAAAAGATAAAAATGCTATTATACTTTTAGGAAAACAGTAGAAAAAAGAATAAAGTAATCTTGAAATATTAATTATGTCTAACGAAAACGAAAGTTGTGAAAAAGAGAAAAAAGTAGGAAAACACCTACCAGGAAAAAGTCTTGTAGAAGAATTTATTCCTTTTAAAATGGAAGTTAGTCCATTTAAACCACGGCTATATAGTTATTGGATGGATGCATCACGTTGGAGTTCAAAAATGCTTGAAAAAATGCTTATTAAAAAAGAGATGAGAGGGATTGGATATCGGATGAAAATTTTATCAGTTACAGGACCAGAATTTATGAAAATTGATAGTAAATTTAATGTAAAACTTGGTGCTGAACTTCAAGAATGGAGAAATTTATTAGCATATAGAGACGAGTGTAGAAAAGCAAGTGCTGCATGTATATTACAACGTGCTATTCGATCACGTCAAAAAGTAAAAGATTCAAAGAAATATATTTATTGTTCCAAAGTTGTGAATGAAATTATTTCAACAGAACAAACGTATGTTCAACAACTTGATGTCGTTGTAGATTTAATTATGAAACCATTAAAAAAATTAAATAAACAAGAAGAAATTATAACAGAAGAACAAATGAAATTAATATTTTATGGATTAGCAAATATTCAAGCAACAAATCATGCTTTACTTGATAATTTAATTGAGACTTGTACAAACTATTCTCAAAAAACTTGTGTTGGTAAAGTATTCTTAGAATTTACACCATTTCTTAAAATGTATTCAGATTATTGTAGAATTTATAATAATATTTCTGATATGGTTTGTGTAACATTAAAATCACCTCATCCATTTGCAAAATTTATTAGTGACCAAATGAAACATGCACCAGTAGGTTTAAGACATCACACATTAACTTCGTTATTAATTACACCGGTTCAACGTTTACCAAGATATAAATTATTATTAACTGATTTATTGCGTCATTATAATTGGGAACATCCTGATTATTATGATTTAAAAAAAGCTCAAGAAGAAGTCAATAAAGTTGCTACTTATGTTAATGAAATGTCTAGAATGCAAGAATCAACTGAAATGACATTATATTTAACGAATATTACAAAAGGGGTTCCTGAGGGATTAAATATTTGTGAACCAGGAAGAATATTTATGAGCCGTAATGACATTACATTATATGAAACTATAATTAAAACACATACTGTAATGATAAGTGATGCATCAAATGAAACAGAAGATTATTGCGATATTAGTGGTAATCATAATCTTGTTCAAAAAGAAGTCGATTTTCCTGAAGTTGTTGAAAGTCAAGTGACAGTTATTCTTTTTAATGACATTGTTTTACTCTTAACAGCTGATGTTGCTGCATCAATATGGAACGTTGGACTTAAATTATTTTCAAGCGTTGGATTAGCTAAAGAACAAAAATATGAAGGATTTTATTATTATAAACATTTCAAGTTATGTAAAGTTAATATTGAAAAAGCACAAGAGAGTTGTGTTCAAATTGAATTTAATGAAAAAGAATTAAAGTCAATGCAATTAAAATTTATTGATGAAAAAACTCGTGATGACTGGTTTGAAATTGCTGTTGATTATTGTGAACAACAAAAAAAGTTAGAAAAGTCTTTAGAAGAAAGAAGAAATGGGTTATTCCTTAGAAATATTCAAGACGAAATTTTACGTAGAAATACTTCAAAAAAGTAATGTCTGTTTTCTTTTTATGAATTGTGTCTTTTTTTCACTTTTATTGGTGGTTTTTTTTTAATTTTTTTTTGAATAATTCTTTTCTTAAAAGAAAATAACAAATTTTATTTTCTTTGGTAATGAGTAAGTTTTTGAGTTTTGTAAAGAAAACTAAACAAGAAATAAATATTTAAGAAAATATAGAAAGATAAATATCAATACCAATAAAAGAATAATAAGAATAGGATATGAATTTACCAATCATAAAGTGATTAAAAAGAGAAGTATGAAAGGAAAATGATAAATAAATGATGAAAGTAAAATAACTGAATGGGAAAGTAGAGATGATAGTTAAATAACAGGTAATGATGTTATCATCTAAAATCAATGAGGTAATCATGACAAGATGAAGAAAGAGAAGAAGAAAGAAATAAATCAAATACTATAACAAAAAATTCAAATAACAATAAGAACAAGTAGGAAAAGAATAATACACAACAAAAAGAATAATACCAAAAACATTAAACCATCAATGATAAAGAAAAAAAAGAAACAGACAAATACACAACAATGATATAATATCAACAACAAATGTGAAACTGAAATAAACTACCACAATGAAAAATACCGTTACACAATAGGAGAAGTAAAATGTTGATAGAAGCAGATTCTCATTCCAAAAAACTATAATTATTTTATAATTTTTATTTATAGAATTTTTTCTTTTTTATATTTACTTAATTTTTTATTCTTTTCATTTGTTATTTCTTATTTTGAATGACATTAAAGTATTTTAACGAATTATGTCATTGTTTAATTTTAATGGTTATCAGTTTCATGATTACATTTAATAGTCAAAAATTTTCTTCTGTAAAGAGTCATTAATAAATTAAAATTGAATAGGATTATTGTCATAAGATAAATATACAAATAAATATCATTATTTAATTTATTTATTTATTATTCTTGTTTATTATTTATTTCTCTATATCTTCTTTTCTTTATTTTTATGTTATTAATTTCATTTTCTTGATTCATTTGATTTATCATTGATTATCATTGTTTCTTCTTTTCTTTATTCTCTTTAACTTCTTTCTATATTTATTTATCACTCCTTTTTATTCTTCTCATTGTTAATGTATTTATTATAAATATCATGTAATTTTGGTTTGTTTGTTAAAATATCTTAATTATTTCTTCTTTTGTTATCTGTTCTTTATTCTTATTTTATTTATGTTTTTCTAAAATTATCATTTTTTTCTTATTCTTTTAATTATATACTTTTCTTTCTTCCATCTTATATAATAATATAGATAAAAATGATAAAAATATGATAATTAAAAGAAACAAAAATGAATGAACAAAATAATATAAAAATGGAAGAACTAACATACAATAATGAAATCTGAAGTAATAAAAATGAAATTAATAATAGAAAGAAGTATAAATAATAAGAATAAAATGATGAAAAGAATAAAGAATAAAATATGAAGTTACTTTAATTGATTTTTTATTCTTTGAATATATTTTACTTTAACTTTAGTTAAAGTATTAATTTATAAACTAATTGAATATATACATTTGAACAATAGTATTTACATTTATAATTAATTTATCTAAATTATCATCAATTCATCTTTGTAAACTCCAACTTTCTCTATTTCTATGATTATTCAAAGATATTTATTATTATATTCAAAAAATTTTAATCACTATCTTAATATATTTACTATTACCTCTTGTTATCAATTGTTTTAGTTTATTTAACTAGTTTGAATATAATTTAATATATTTCTATATCTATTTGTAATTTTATTATTTTTATAGAATTATTAACTTTGTTAAAATATTACATTATTTAACACTTGTTTCTTCATATTATTTTTATTTAGATTAAAAATAAAAGTTATTTCTTATTTATTTCATAAAGATAACCAGAATATATTTATCAATTCTTTTCATAACTTTTCTTTACTATAAAAAAGTATTAATACTAATCATTATTATTTCTATTAATATTAATAATTTGAATCATTTAATATATATAATTTTAATTAATTATCTTAATTATATAATCAAATATATAATTTCTATAATTTTCAAATCATTATTTAATGAATATATTATTTTCATTATGAAGTTTTTAAATGAAAAGATAATGCCAATAATATATATTTTATCATATATTAGTTTTATTATGAATATTATTTCATATTATTAAATTTAACAAGACAAAACAATGATTGATTAATACATTCTGATGAATACTTGTAAATTAATAGATAATAAATAAGTTATTAAATGAAAAATATTATTAAAACTATGTTGTATAAATTATTTGATCAATTTTAAATAACAATCAATATAAATATTTAATGAAATAAAATGAATAATATTATTAATGAAAAATTGACTTATAAATTATTTTCATCGTTTTATTATTGTGTTATAATAATTAAGAATAAAATAAATAGATAAAAATTAAAAGAAATGTATGAATATATAGAAAATAATTTAATAATTAGATGAGAATGATAAAATTATTTCATAGAATATAGAGTTATAAAACAAAGATAATATTTGTTTAATTTGTTATATTTTAACAATAAAACTAAAAGAAATGATAAATAATAAAAAGAGAGAAGGTGATAAATAAAAAAATCAAGAAAAGTTATTAGATTATAATAAAAATTAAGAATAAGATATAATAATAAATTATTATAATTTATTATTAAGGTATTATACAATTAAAATATGAAATTGTTGTATTAAACATTTTTCTTAATTAATTATTTAATTTTTTAATAAAAATAAATGAAGAAAAACTAAATTATAACAGGTACAATAATATATTTTATAATTCTTAACAATATAACAACAAAAAAGAGAAAAATAATTATTTTAATAGAATTGTATATCAAATGAAATATTTTCTTTTTTATATATTTCTTTTCTCTTTTTTATTTTCTATTTCTTTCTTATATTCTTCTTATTTTCTCTATCTCTTCATTTATTCTTTTCTTATTATTACTTTTTCTTCTTTTCTCATTATTATCTTTTATTTATCTTCTTATTTATCTTATTTAATATTGTTAAATAACTCTTAATTGATGATAGTTAATTATATTAATTACTTTTCTTTTCATTATAATTGTGTTATTTGAAAGTATTATTTATGTTTGTAATTATAAGAAGTGTTTGATTATTTTATATTTGTTGGAATTCATTCAAGAATTATAATCTTTTAATTTATTTCTTTGTGTTAATTATTTTTATAGTTTTCATGTTGAATTAATGTTTAGAAATAAATTTATTTTCATTTATATCTATTATATTTATTGTTGAAGATTAGAATATATTAAATAACAAAACAGGTAAATTAAATATGTTAATAGTGAAATAAATATTAATTATTTAAACATTGTTATATTTAAATATTATATTTATAATCATTATAATGAATATTTAATGAATTAATTAAATGATAAATATGATATTTCATTGTTATATAAATAAATGTATTCAAATTATTATTTAATTTATTCTTTATTTAATTATTCTAATTTGAAAAAGAATTCATTGTATCATTTATTTATGAATAATTCATTTAATTTTGTTATTTTATTTGAAAATATTTTATCATTAATAATTGAATAAAAATAATTATCGTTTTGTGTTTAATTCTTATTTATTTCATATTATGTTAATTATAATGATATTCATTATTCATGTTTGTATTTTTATTATCTTTCTTATTATTTATTCACATTTTCATGAAATAATAAATGTATTCATATCATTACATTCATCATTTGATTTAAAATTAAAATAAATGAAGTTGTTTAATAAAATTATTTAATTATTTCAATTTCTGTTATTTCTTTCATTTTTATCATCATTTTCTTTTCATATTTATTCTTTTTGTGTTATTATTATTAACTTATCAAATATATCAATTCAATAATACAATTTATGTATTTATTTATTATTTACATTTTATTATCAATAAATATCATTATTAAGTTTTTAAAGTGTAATGAATGAGAATAGTGTAAATAATAAAATAAATAAGAAGAATGAATAAATTAATAGAAATTAATGTGTAATATCATTATTTGTATTTGTAATATTCAATTTATTCACAACATTCTTTTACAATAAATAAATTAGAAACAACAAAATCAAAGAACTAATAAAATGAAATTAACTAAAAATCCATCATTAAGAAATGCAAACAAACCCTGATGTTTATCACAACATCGAAATGATTGACATGATGAATTGTCAATATCTGTCAACTATCAATGAAGAAAAACCAATCAAACAAGATAAGAGTGAAAAAGAAAGGATGAAAAGAGAAATAAAGAAAAGAAATTATCATCAGATTAAAACAAGAAAGACAAACAACCACAAAATAGGAAAGAAGAGTTATGAACACATCAAAGAAGATAAAAGAAGCACTCAAAGAAGTGATGATGATACAATTGAAGAAGATGAGTACGAAAGAAATGAGAAAAAAAGAATAAAGAGAAGAATGAATGAAATGATGAAAGAAGTTGAAAAGAAAGAAATGAACAAAAGAAAAATTAAAGAAAATATGAAGAAAGAATGGAATGAAAGAAAAGAAAGTGGAGATATTTTGATGAGAGAAGAAGAAAGAATAAAAGAAGAAATTGAAACACAATCTTCAAACACACCAAATTATCAAGAAAACAAAATATACAATATTATTAAAGAAGGATATCAAAGAATCAAAAAAGGAGAAATTATCAATGAAAAAGAATATCAAGAAGAAACAAAGAAATGTGGATGGAGTGTTGGGAGTGATTTAACAATTATTTCAATGATAAAGAAATATGGAATATGTAATAAGAAAGAAATATATCATAATCCAATTATTCAATATCAAATAGAAGAAATAAATGGAATTAGAAATGAAGAATGTTGTCAAAAAGTTATTTCAGAACGAATTAAATATATTGTAGAATTATTAACAATTAAATGTAAATTATAATTCATTC